ACACTAGTTTTGTAGATACTTGGTAACTGTAGTTATGGTATACTAGTTTTGTAGAGACTTGGTAATTGGTAGCTATGGTACACTAGTTTTGTAGATACTTGGTAACTGTAGTTATGGTATACTAGTTTTGTAGAGACTTGGTAATTGGTAGCTATGGTACACTAGTTTTGTAGATACTTGGTAACTGGTAGTTATAGTACACTAGTTTTGTAGATACTTGGTAATTGGTAGTTATGGTACACTGGTTTTTAATTATCAAGTATCTACAAAACTAGTGTACCATAACTACCACTTATCAAGTCTCTACAAAACTAGTGTACCATAACTACCAATTATCAAGTATCTACAAAACTAGTGTACCATAACTACCCTAGTATACCATAACTACCAATTACCAAGTATCTACAAAACTAGTGTACCATAACTACTAATCACCAAGTATCTACTAAACTAGTATACCATAACTACTAATCACCAAGTATCTACAAAACTAGTATACCATAATTACCAGTTACCAAGTATCTACAAAACTAGTGTACCACAACTACTAATTACCAAGTATATACTAAATTAGTGTACCATAACTACCAATTACCAAGTATCTATTTTGTAGATACTTGGTAACTGGTAGTTATGGTACACTAGTTTTGTTGATACTTGATAAGTGGTAGTTATGGTACACTAGTTTTGTAGAGACTTGGTAATTGGTAATTATGGTACACTAGTTTTGTAGATACTTGGTAATCGGTAGTTATGGTACACTAGTTTTGTAGATACTTGATAATTGATAGTTATGGTATACTAGTTTTGTAGAGACTTGGTGATTAGTAGTTATGGTACACTAGTTTTGTAGAGACTTGGTAATTAGTAGTTATGGTATACTAGTTTTGTAGAGACTTGGTAATTAGTAGTTGTGGTACACTAGTTTTGTAGATACTTGGTAACTGGTAATTATGGTATACTAGTTTTGTAGATACTTGGTGATTTGTAGTTATGGTACACTAGTTTTGTAGATACTTGATAATTTGTAGTTATGGTATACTAGTTTTGTAGAGACTTGGTAACTGGTAGTTATGGTACACTAGTTTTGTAGATACTTGATAATTGGTAGTTATGGTACACTAGTTTTGTAGAGACTTGGTAATTGGTAGTTATGGTACACTAGTTTTGTAGAGACTTGATAATTGGTAGCTATGGTACACTAGTTTTGTAGATACTTGGTAATTGGTAGTTATGGTACACTAGTTTTGTAGATACTTGATAATTGGTAGTTATGGTACACTAGTTTTGTAGAGACTTGGTAATTGATAGTTATGGTACACTAGTTTTGTAGATACTTGGTGATTGGTAGATATGGTACACTAGTTTTGTAGAGACTTGGTAATAGGTAGTTATGGTACACTAGTTTTGTTGAGACTTGATAATTGGTAGTTATAGTACACTAGTTTTGTCGATACTTGGTAACTGGTAGTTATGGTACACTAGTTTTGTAGAGAATTGCTAATTAGTAGTTATGGTATATTAGTGCTTTAGAGCTGTGTTTTACCAATGTGTGAAGAATTGGTAACTAGTAGTTGTGTGTTTTACTAATTTCTAATCTCTTGGTAACTATCAGTTATGTTGTAGTATTTAGTAAAGACGTAATTACTAGTAGTTGTAAAAGGTTAAAATTTAAGAAACTTGTGTAAAAATGATTAAAAAATTAACAGCTTTTTAACAATTTTTAAACGATCAACGTTTTTAACTTACATAATTAAAATATTTATTCTGAGATCGTTAACGATCTCAGAACAACCATTCTACATGTTTCAACGTGTATCACGTCATCCTCAGGAGTGCTAAGTCTAAAAAACAACCGTTACAAAACTATTTATACCAAGGTTGTTAATCATGTGACTCATATTACACTCCATGGATAAACTGTAAACCCTAAAGAAGGTCACGCCATCTG